ATAAATAGTTAGTTATACAAGCAGAGCTTTATAGAGGTTACAACTGCATCCTGCATCGTAGTGTGGAAAAGGACTAATTTTATGAATGACCTGGCTTGGTGAGGCAGGCTGGGTTCTACACTACGTCTAAGGTAGCCTGAAAGTCCATGAGTAATAGATAGGAGGACTCGTCCAAACATATTATCAAGGAGAAGGGTGTCAACCGAGTGACATTTTTTTTCCCAGATCTTTACAAGGAAAAAAACCCTATGCTTAAAGTCTGGGCAAGTTTGCCTTGGTCCTGGGAGTGTGCTCTTTGCTCTGTAGATAGTCACTTGGTCATGGTCAACATTCCTGCATTCTTGATTGCTGATTAGTGCTGCTTTCCATTGGGCATTTCCTCCCGACTTTGAAAAACAACAGTGAGATATCTGAAATTATCTGCCTTTTACCTAGATTGAGTGTAGAGGCTGCTTTGTTGTACACAGAAAGAAACAGAACTTCTTTCAGAGATAATAATCTGTAAAGTTCTCCCCACTGAAGTTTTGGTGTTAGAATGAGCATTTATTTTAGAAGAAAATTGTGGCTTTAAAAGAGAGATTCCCCACCCCAGTCTCACTTAGAACAGCTGTCTCTCTCACAGTGATTAAGGTTTGTAATTTAAAAGGCTGCTGTGAGGGTGCTTATTCATAATTAAGCTCTATTTTTGATCGTGTGTTTTGCTGTACAGTGTGGGGGGCTGTGGAATTTTGCCATTGCTTTTTACTCTGTTCCAGAACAACCTTAGTGCTTTATTTTGTTTGAGACTGAATTTCCTCTGATGAAATTCCAGCAATGACATGACTGTGGGTTGTTGCTCTTGTTATTTGTGGAGAATGTGAGCTTAAATTAGCTATAATTGTTTGTTGTTGCACTGGCACAGCTACGTTTTCCATTTTTTCCTAGCAGAAAAGACCAGTGTGAGGTGTTAACCTCAGCAGCGCTGGCCACGCAGTTTCGATGGGCTACATACCTGCCAAGGGACCGTGCCAACCAGGTACCAGAATGAATGGATGTTTAAACAGTGATCTGATGTATGTTGAACCGCACTGTTACAAACCCTTGATTTTCCTCATCTGTAACTTGAGGGCTGAGTCACTCATTTGGCAAACAGCTGCAGCACTTTAAGGGTTTATTGCCACTCTGACAAAAGTTGCAATCAGGTAGCAGGGGAGAGAGAGCAGGACCTTGGAGTGATCCTCAGTCACTTCATTGAAATCTAATGACAGTCAGAAGACCAGAGGCATAGCTTGAGGAAGACCACTGAACTTCAAGTTGAAGAGGCTGAGGGTTACTCAAATTCTGTTCTCCCAGCTTTGCTGATAAGTCAGGGACCTCTGCCAGAGGGGAGGTGATAAACAGGTATGGGAAGTTAAATGAGTCAGTAATAACTAAAACTCTGTAGCTGTTTGCTCTGTATCTACAACTTCCGTGGTAATTCATGTTACCTGTTGCTATGTCTGTACTTGTAAACTACTAATCAGTTGCTGGAACTGCTTTTGCCTTAAAGATGATCTTGAAATACCACATGGAATTATAGAAGAAGAGGGAAAAGAGAAGGAATGTCCAGGTTTTCTGAGAATGAACGGCAACCTGTCATATTTTGCCTAGCCGGGAAGGCTTGGTAGGACTTTTCAAAGATTTAATGAAAATCGCAGAGGTGTAAGACTGGCAAAATTTACTGTGCAAGTGGCTGGAGCTTTGTACTTTCTGATTATGATGATTCAGTGGAGAACTCCTTTGTGTGTGAAGTATGATAGCGGCATGCTTTTTGCACAATGTGGCTTGAGCAGTTGCAGCTGTTTCTTCAGAACATGATGCCTTTTTGGTTAGGTAGCTTTTCTACTTGCACTATTGGGTTGCTGATTTAAAAATAAAATTAACAAATAACGCCCTCCCCCCCCCAATTCATCTCTGTGGGGACTGAAAATCTAGTGAAAGGCATGTTGGAAGAACGCTGTTCTGGAGCGCTAGAGGGGGATACCTATCACCGTTCCTAAGCACTATGCCCTACGGGTGTGATCAAGATGGGCAAATTGCCAGTGGTTGTAAAAAGATTTAAGGAAAATGTATTCTCTGAACTATGATGAAATGCCTTCTGTGATACCTGTTGGAGGTCCACTAACATTAGGAGAGAAAGGTAAAATTCACTGATGAGAGGAGCGGTAGTGGATCATTTTAACAGACCCTTAGGCACAAGCTTAGCTGTGCAGGATGCCTAGACTTTTGAAGAAAACTCAAAATATTCTTTATTCTTGCTTCATAGCAATGGTATTTTCACACTTTAATGTCCCTGGTCACCTTATCTATGCTTGCTTTTGTCGTGGCTCATCAAATCAACCCTAGATGACATAAACCTGCAGAGTTGGTAGTGTGATATAAGCTCAAAATGTGCTAGACAGCTTTAGAGCCATGTTTTTTCTAGAGATGTCAAACTTGTAATTAGAATTCAGTTACTAACATGGTGATTAAAATTCAGCAGTTGTTTTATGCATAATGTATGTAAAAGAGGAAGTGTCTGATACAGAGTTGGAAAAGAGGTAGGTGGACTAACAAAATTTTGCAATCAAAGTTGCTATTTAAGAGTCCATAATTAGTATGCTCTCCAAATTGGTCATACACACACTTCAGAAATCATGGTGAAGAACAAGAAATACAAGCTCCTAGGAAACTGCTGTGTTGAAATTGTGAATTTGTGGAAATAACAGGTAGTTAAGCACTGTTGTGTCTAGAGTTTGTGCTGCTCGTTATAAATCCCATAACGTTGTGTGGATACATCTTCTAATTAATCACTGTCTAAGCAAGTCTAAGCAAGGAGTTTTACAGTGATGCGTATGTTAGTACTTAGTTTTTGATGGCTGTTCATTTAGAAACATACCTCTTGGGATTTACTGTTGCAATGTCATCAGCGATGTGTTTGTGAGAGAGGTGTGAATAGTATTGAAAGTGCCATTGCTGGTTCATATTGAGCTCTTTCTCTTTTTGGATCTGCTTTGGTCCCCCAAATCAGTTTGGGTCGATGTTCCCTGTAGATTGAGAATTACAGTACTTGGGAATATTTAGGAAACAATCCCCACTCATGTACATAATTGAAGGGCTTAATGCAGGTGTGTAATTGCTGCAGGTCCTTCCATAGATTGTGATAAGAAACACACTTACAGAAGGCTTAAGTGGAGCCTCCCTAAAAGCTCTTTTTGTTTCCACTGATTGTCAGGGTACCGCGTGCAGATTATACCTGTTTGGTGCCTGAAGTGAAGTGGAAATGGTGGTGGTCATTGCAATTCTACAAACGTGGAAGGACCTGACCCCGTGTAACAAGCTCCTGTATCACCGCAAAGGATGAGAGTAATCTCTCTGTTTTGCAGGTGCAGAATGTGAGTTTTGGTTTGCTCAGAGCTGTGCAGGAAGCCTAGTATATCTAGAAAACTCATATATCTGTGTCATGCAGTTAAACTGCAAAATGATCCTTCAATCTGGTTGTAAATGTGTAAGAAGGAGCAAAGGATGAACATTATGAGAAAATATCAGTATTTCATATCCTGTCTTTAATAGATGGAGAAAATAAAACATGGATTATTGGGCTACATTACCATGCTCTGCTGAATTGCTGCTGTTGAACTTGGAAAAATATGAATATCAAATATTTGTCATTTTTGGAGATGGAGTGCTAGATCCTCCTCAAGTTAAATTCTAATAATTCAAGCAAAGATGGAATCTGAGGCCTGCTTTAAAATAAACATTTCGTGAAATTCAGGGTCCCCTGGTTTTCCTGGGACTTAGATTTCAGTTGATCTCTGCAAAGGAGTTGCAGAACTACAGTAATTAAATTAGCTGCGCTCCTTAATGGCCTTTAATTTAAATAATGCTTACACATAGGATATAGCTTTCTCCATTAAAGAGAGAAGCTGCTTTTATTGACAGCTGAAATGAAAAAGTACTGTAATGTTGCAGAATAGAAAATAGAAAAATGACACAACTTAATGGATTTCCTTTATTTCAAGTTAGTGTATAATGAATATTATTTAGAAAGTCTAAAAATAAGAGAAATATTTTATATAAATCAAAAAATAAGGCATTCAGCTCAGCTAATGGAGTTTATTTTGTGTTCTAATCACATAAATCACTGTACATATTATCCCAAAGTATAATGTCAGATTGTATTAACCCGTAACATTCATAGCAAAAATTGTCAGAATATTTAGTATTTCACTAATTTCTGTGTGAAATTTACTTACCACATTTAATTATTGCAATCATACATTCCATTCCATGTCAGAACTTGAAAATTCATTATCAAGTCTTGTCATATAGAGTCTGTGTTTTTATATATGTAACTTTTTTGTTTGTCAGTTAATTAGAAGCATTTGAATGAATATAAATTAGCAGAATGATTTAGGTAAAAGCATCGGTTGTAGGCATAGGTCTTAATTTGGCAATATTATAATTAAACAGCATCACAGGTATTCTACTTGCATTGTATCAGTTTATGACTTTGACCTGATAGATACCATACGGGTTTTTTTCTCTCTGCCAGGTTGGTGCATTTGATTGTAATGCTCCTGTGTGTCTATTAGCAACTATGACAGTGCAATTTGAAAGAAGTATTTATTTATAGATTTAATGCTTTTTGTATTATAGTGGTTAATTTTGGCTTTCTAGGATAAATATCAAAAGAATTTTCAATACCTTATAAAATTAGTGGAAATTCTTCTTTGTGTGTTCAAAATATTTGCTGTCTCGTGAGAGAGAGAGAGATGTAGATTTTCCTTCTTTTGCTTGTACTGGAGTGTAACACCAGCAGGGACAATTTACATTTTTTTTTGTCTAATTTTTCACTGTGTTGCTTTGGATTTTTGAAAAATTTTCTGTCAATTAGTTAAGTTTTACATCTGTATTAGATAAGTGTGTCTTTAATAAATGACTGCCATTAAAAATGTAGGTGTTGAAATCAAGCAAGGGATATTCTAGGTACTGATGTTTTTCTAAGAATAGAAAGTCAGTACATTTTTGTGGTTGCCCCTGACCATTAAGATTGGAGGAAGGTTCTTGGAGAGAATTTCTAGCCAAGCCATATATAGATAATCGGACACTACTCCTTTTCTTGCCACTGGAAGGCTCCTGTTTAGACAGAGAGAAAAATAAAATTAACATTATGAAGGCAGGGTTTATCCCTGATAACATGGATCTCACTAAATATTAAGTAGAAAACGTCAGCTGTTCATATACAACTCTGAATGTTCGTAATTAGACTGTATGATTGTTTTAATCTTACAAAGCACAAAGCTACCATCAGGCCTTCATCTTGCTAACTCTTGCTCACCTGGTTATTGCCATTAGCATGGCTAGTTGTACTGGACTGCTTGTGATTGTAACCTTAAACTGATAAAGAAGCATTTTTGGGGTCATAAAACCCGCACATAATATGGCTTTTAAAAAGGATAAAATACAGTACATGCACAGTTTTACAGTCCAGCAGCTTATTTTCTGATCTGTAATTACTGTGAGATGGGAGTGTTAAAGTATGGGTCAAATTATGGTAAACATTACCTGATCAACCCTTTTTTGGAGACTGAATTAATAGAGCTAAAGAGGTTTATCTACTCTAACTAAAAAATGATTCTGAAAATGGCTTTTTTTTTTTTGGTAATTTTATTGGTGGCCTCTTTTTTTTTTTTATGCAGTTGCATCATCCTTATTCAGTTTCACGTAGATCGTGGCTAACAACTCCATTTATTGTGTGCAAACCAAAAGAATCCTTTCTCTAACTTTGAGTTGTTAATAGTTGGGGGAAAAGAAAGGAAAAATGTGTATTTTCTGCAGGTGAGTAAGCAGGTGTAACACTCAACATGTAGATTTGGATGTGAAGATTACATTTTTGACACATTTTCATGAGTAGAACTTTGTTTTAAGCTATGAAGAACAACTAGGAAGGGAAAGATTCATATTCAGTGTAGTCCCAGAGAACCATCAGTCCAGATGCAAGTCCTTCAAAAGCTACTTAAAAGATTATTTTTGCCCTTACTGAATTAACACAAGTGTTTCTGTTGCTCTAGCTCAGAATCCCTTTACACATTAGATTATTCTTTAAGTTAGAACCAAAATCTTGCAACTCACAGGACAATGAGGTTAGCTGCCCTCGAATGCTCTTGTAAGAGTTCATTCAGACGAACTTGGCGGTAACTCTGATTGAAACAAAATGGGGAAAAAAAAAAAAAAATCAGTTAGGTCAGTGATCCTCAGTTCTGGTGCCTTATGGACTTCTACACTACCCATTGCCCACAAGATTTTCTGCTGTTGCTTTGGCAGCATTGAAAGCCATAGTGATGGCAAAATATGAGGCTAAGCCATGCTTCTTGATTAGTATAGGTACCTGGGGGCCAGAGTTGTTCACTGCGTAAAATTTCCTGGGGATTGAGATTATTTTTGTACTGACACAGTACCAGAGCTGGCTCAGACATAGCTTTTAAGTATTTCTTTGGCTATGGAGTATAGCTGTTTGGGAACTGTGCAAAGACTCTTTTGTGCTATTGTTTGACGGCAGTTAATGTATTAATTCATCTATTTTGTAAGTGTCCAGCTGCTGTGCCGGTAGGGCTGAATGTCAGTGCGTAAATGAGCACCTTGCCAAAAATTCACCTCTTAAACAAAAGACCAGGAGTCTGGAGTAAGACTTAGCTGCTTTATATATTGTGTATTTGTATAGACTTTTACACATTATATAAATGGCTGTTACTTTGAGATTCAGCCAAGATTACTTTATGGTCAGGCTCAGGCCCTCAAAGTTTTTATAACTTAACACAAGTCATAGGGAACAAGAGACCAGGGCAGGTTTGTGTACAGGGAGATTGCAGCATAGGAGATGGATGTATCTTCCCTGGAGGAGGTAAAAAGCTGGTTTTTCTCCATTAAATTTTCTTTCTCTACAGAAATTTTGCTGTTCTCTTACTTATGTTATATAAGTAAGAATCCTCATAATTTAGCCAGTTGTTATCTCATGAGAATCATCCTATAACATCACCCTTTATCTGTGCTGCCAGGTTTTTCTCTCTTGAATTTTAAATGTGTTTTAATGTCCTCCAGGAGGTAAAAAGCTGGTTTTTCTCCATTAAATTTTCTTTCTCTACAGAAATTTTGCTGTTCTCTTACTTATGTTATATAAGTAAGAATCCTCATAATTTAGCCAGTTGTTATCTCATGAGAATCATCCTATAACATCACCCTTTATCTGTGCTGCCAGGTTTTTCTCTCTTGAATTTTAAATGTGTTTTAATGTCCTCCATAAAATTCCCAGAACTGCCTTACTTCTGAAGATAAGGGGCATGTATTTCCAGGTGTGTGAGCTAAAGTTTTTGTTGCTGTTCTTATTTTATAGAGAGATTTGGCATTTTCATATTGCTGACTGCTTTCAACCTGTGGGGTTTTTTACTGGTTCTTTAGTTAGTGACCTAGACAAGACCAAGCTTAATCATATATTGTTTTTCGTGTTGTATCCTCACAGGTTCTTCACAGAAGTGTGTATATCTGGGCTTATATTTCCATTGTCTTTTATACTGAGATCTTCTAAGGGCTCTGACTCCCAAGTTTTGATGATTTATGCTGAGAGTACTTCAAAAGTTTTCTGCCCACAGCTGACTACCATAACTTTATGCTGGTTATCAAATCTATGAAAAGGGTAATACAGTGAGAAGTCATTCTGCTTCCCAGCTGCTGCAGTCGGTAGTATAGTGTGTTATCTTAAATCACCATTGATTTCAGCTTATGTTAGTATGTCAGGCTGTGACCTCTAGCGGCTCTGAGCTCAGACTCATAATCCTTGCTCTGCTGAGGAAGTTACCGGCACCATAAAGTGGAGATAACTAAACTCTCAGTGCACTTGGGTTAATCCAACAGAAACCATAAATAAAATTGCTAGATTAATTCTTTATGAGTTACAGGAGAACTTGTCTCTTAAGTGGAAGAGTTTGCAGTATCCTTTCGGCAGTGGCCTGATAAAGCCTGATGGTTCCAACAAAATTAAAGAGCAGCCCAGGCTCTAATTCACCCAGTGGATCAGCCAACGTCAGCCTTAGAGTGCCTCAGAACTGTGGGAGAGCTCCTGCATTGTAGGCAGGTTTAGTCTTCACTCTGCCATTGAGGTAAGAATCCATGTTAAATCTTGCCTTTGGAAAAATTCCTAGAGCCAGTTGTAAAGTCTGGATTCAGTTCTAAATTTCCCAAAGTGGTGAATGTTTGGAACGGCACTCTTTAAGAGGTTCAAGCTCCAAAACAATGAAGCCATTTAATAAACCTCTCAGCAGATCTTATAACTCAGGCTCAGTGCAGTACTGCGTGGCTTCTGGTTCAGGGGTGGTTTTCATCTGGCTGGCTCTGATGTGGGCAGAGCTGCTCGTCAGTCTGGAAAATACTGTGCAAACATGCCAAGGTCTTAACAGAGTGGTAAATAATGCAATCATAACACACCTCTGCAGAGTTTACAATATAAATCCAATTTGTAAATATCAAATACAGGTTTGCACGTGTCCTGTTTCTAATTCCATATCTGGTATTTCACATTTTCTTACTAATCGCTTCAAACATCTGGAGTGTAAGAAAAGGTACAGATGTAAAAAGGTAGGCAAAGCTTTACCTTCTCCTTGAATGCTTCCAGCTCTGCATCTGTAATTTTCCATGGAGTCTCTCGCTTCAATTTCTCAGCAGTTGTTATATCTTTGCAGCTTTCATGGAGGCGATATGGCTCAATCATCTCTTCAAAGAATTTCCAGCTGAAACAGGAATTACAAAGGAGGCCTTGCTGCAGGATACGAACTCCCTAACTTATTTCACAGACACTGTGTATGGCAGGCCCCACTGCCTATAATTGTAGCTGAAAAACATGCAAAATCTTTAACTATTATCTGCTACATTGTGCCCCAAGTTGTATCTGTGTCACTTCAATATGTTGGGGTTGTTTGAGGATAATTAAAAAGTTGTTTGAGGATAATTAAACACTGCATTTGGCCTGCTTATAATTGCAGAGGATTTTCTGCATTCTCCTGGTTGTAGCAAAAATACTGAAATGAGTTGTACAGTAACTCCAAACTGCAGTATATTGGTTACTAATGTTAACAATGAATATGGGTCTCCTCATAAATGCTGAGCTTTTATTATTGTTTTAGCATTAACTGGAGCAATCGCCTGACTGATAACAGTTTTAGTGTTACGGTTTTAATGAAATGGAGAAACAGGTAATATGAATCTCCTGTAGCAAGGGGCTGAAGGAAATGCTGTAGGTTTTTTGCTCTATGGGGGCTCAGATTTGTGTTCATTTCCCAACTTTTCCACAGATTTTCCCTCTAAATTTCAATTTGTTTCTTGAAGCTTTTGACTGTCATTATCTGGAGAAGCTTATCATCCTTCTGTACTTCCCTGCTTGCCCCTTTGTTGAAAGTTTCTATCATGCCACTGAGACCTCAGGGAGTTTCTTTTATAATAATGTAAGTGTGTTTCTGTAAGCACTTTATGCTGACAGGCCTCACTGTGAGGTGAAACGTGAGGCTGGGCACAGGTTGGACTTTACTATATGGCCAGGAAGTCAAGAGATGCGTTAAAGGCTGTGACATGCAGCATTTAATGTTACTGTTGCTAAGTTGCCAGAGAGTTCGACAACATCCTTAGTGTCTGTTTCAGAATGTAAAATAGTGATAATCCTCTTACTATTAGTGAAATAAATGGGATGCCAGCTGGGACGGAGATACAGTGGTCTAGCAAGTGTCTGGCACAATATTCACTTGTTCAGATAGTGCTGATGCAGCAAATGTGTTTGATTTTTATGTTAACGCCAGACACGAATTCTTTTTGATAGCTTTTATTTATGTAAAATCGCTGCATAGTACTGGAAAAGAGAGAAGTATTCTGCACAGTTCTTTATATAATTTTAAAAAATTGACTGAGAGATCAAGAGGGCACTAATAAGTGACTTCAGGTATCTAGTAGTAAAATCTTTATATTCTTTAATTGCATTTCCTAAGTCAAAATCTCCAATGCACTGTAGAAACACTGGTGAATCTAATACTGTTTTTGCAAAGTTATGTGTGTGTGTAGAAATAGGACACAGAAGGATTAAGATTCTAACCTTGAACTCAGAGGAAAGGCTTTGGGTGGAGAAGAGGAGCCCTTTGACTATGAAATAGCTATGGACCTATCAAGAGGGGAGTAAGGGACGGGATGGAAAAGAGCATAACAAGATGAGAACATTTTCAGAGGATCTTTAAGACCAAGAGCAGTATTATGAATTGAGTTAGGATTCAGTTATTCCCTGAGCAACCTGCTATATACTTTTGTCTACATAAAGCAGAAGAAATAGGTGATTTCTACAGAGATATGAAAAGCAAGGACTTGAAGAATTTTTTTTTTTTTAGCTAATACAGTTGGAGGTGGAGCTTCTTGAGCATTGTTTTACCAACTTCCTAACCTCTGCCTAAGAGCATTAATTCTGTAGATAAGTTGATTTTTAAAAACATTGAACCTTCATTATATTTGAGTGATAGGGGAGTATTATAATATTGTCCTCATGGGAGAGGAGAAGTATGCTTATGTTTGGCCAGAAAAATGTTAAGTTTATGAATTCATGGTAAAACCCAGAAGGCTGAGTTGGCAGAGATGGTGAGTTTACAAGAGAATTGTGACTGAATGAATAATATGATGAAGTGAGGTCTATTGCAACGTAAATATATATGAAAAGCCATCATAAAATGCCTGTTAAATTTAGTGGCTCGTAAGTATGGTGTCTAATTAGTCTTTATTAAAATTAAGTCTTATAATTACAACATAAAGAAAAAGGCTGCCTATAGTTTTGACCCTTTGAGCTGTGATTGTTGAAAGGTTCTTTTCTTTTTCCTGCTCTTAGGTACATGGAAAATGATTGCAATAAAGTGACAGTGTTATTCTTTGTAGTGTGTTTTGGGTTTTTTTGATGTTCAACATAAAAGAAACAAGCTCCTGATAAAGGCCTGCTGCTAAATAATGGATTTTGGTAATGTTTCTTACCTCTCTTTGTTGGGCTTTATATTGATATCACAAATGATATTAATATCAGCGAATTTTATTCTGAATTTGCTTAGAAGTGAAGCCATCCTGAAAATAAAAGAGAGAACATTTTATCACTGTATTTCTGAGTGCCTTGCATCAAAGAGCACTCATAAATGAGTTAAGATATCAGACGCAGTTGTCTCATTATCTTTAACTATGTGACAAATTACTTTAAATGCTTTAGTGTTTCAGTTTCCAATTACAGAACTGGATTGATGTGATTGCTGTAGTATAATTCATTTAACTGGTGATCGATGAAAATCACAAAAAATGGAAATGAATAGTAGACAGAGGGAAGGGTGTTTACATTTTGGGGAAAAAAATGGTACTTTAAGTATTTGCAAAGGCTTGAATTATAAAGGAAAAATATTCAGAATACAGTAGGACAGAATTCTCCAATACTTAGAGAAGGCTTCTGTTGTTCTATTATTATCTGAATTCTATGTACGGAGTATGTACAACACTGGTAGTGTGAAAATTTGGTCCAGAAGGTTGATGTACAATACTTAAAGGATCTTTTTCATTTATGAATTCATATTGATCTACTCATGTGTTGTGTTTACAAATTTTCGTAAAAGAAAATACTTTGCTTTTCTGCCCCAGTTGGCAGGAGGAATGGTTCATAGCTTTGTATGTGTTTGTGCTGAGGTTAGAGAGGTTTAGTTAGGTCAGTTTTACCTTTGGCTGAAGCATGGCTGGGAACTTGTATCGTATTTTTTTCCTCTCCACCCACCCCCCCTTTTTTTTTTTTTTTTTTTTTTTTTTTTTTTGGTATGTAAGCTTTGGAACTTGAAAAGGTCAGAAAATTCCTAGGAGCAAACCATGATGGAAATATGTATTTGCTTATGACCTGAGAATTTGCTTGTTCTTTTTTTATATAAGAACCTACTGCTTATATAAATCTTGATGTCCCTTAGGGCAATCCTTTTTCTGAACACCAAAAAGAGCAAAGTCTCAACTTCTGTGGAAAGGTTTTAATATTTTGGGAATTACATGTTAGCAAAAATCCAGATAAATTTAATTTCTGAATTGGAAATACAATAGATGCAATTGTTCTTGGATGTTGTTGTATTAGATCTACCTAGGGAATGGAATAGCCACCTGGCCTCTGGATTTGTCTCTTTGAAGGCTTCTGTGTGTAATGGGTAGAATATGCTGTTGAAGAAAGCTAGTGTTTAGGTAGAAATACATATGCATGTTGTTTTCTTGGAGACACACTAGGTCATTGTCATGCTGTTCACTCTAGCTTTTGTAGGACAGGCAGTGTATACAGGTGCCGGAACTGCCTCTGTGAGGATCTGTCATGTTTTGACAAATCCCATTTGATGATAAAACCTCCTACTTCCTCTCAATGAAATTTGGTGACTTGAGTGCCTAGATCCAGGAGCTGGTTGTGGTCCTGAACAGCCAAGTTTGGGCAGACTCTGGACAGGGAGCAGAGAATGCTTCCCTCAGGTCCTTGAGCAGCTGTAAGGCTTTTTTTACCCAATGATAAGAATAGTTTGTAGAAACACTTGAGAATCTCTTCTACAGAAGTATGTTAACTTTAGGGTAATCCTTACAACTGACAGAACCACAGCGGAGTAAAGTTTGCTTTATGTGAAAGCAAAAGCTTAAGGGAGCATCCCTGTGGCAGCTGTCTTTCAGAGGCACTGTGTCATAATCCTAGTGATGCTGGCTAAATTCTAACTTCTGTTCTTGCATCCATCTTCCTTGTTTTCCACTGGAGTTTTGGTTGGCTATGTTGTTTTTAACTTGCTACATGGTGCTGCTGCGTTTTGTTAAGCAGTTACTGACTTCCATCCCAAATTGGCCTGCTTCCACCAGTGGTGAATTGGCTGTGCTTCTAGTGTATAAAGTGCTTTGGAAGGAAAGGTCCTATGTACAGTGATATGAAAATAAGCTTATATTAGTACCTTTCATTTGCTTGAAGACGAATTATGATTACGAAATCTAGACTTTTTTTAAAAAAGCTAAGGCAAATCAACTTGGTCTTAAAGTTGCTTAACTTGCTGTTTAACTTCTTTATATTTTACCATTTTATGGTTAATCACATTTATGTGAGCTATCTGTCTATGGTATTTGCATATGAGAAGCTTCATGTGCAATTTCAGTTACTGTTGACTGGACAATTTTATGTAAATCCCATAAAACAAATTACATTCT